GGCCAAATCCCAGACACCCTCCCTTTTCTATGCCCTCCTTGGTGGCAGAGCTCAAAATTGGAGCACGCCGGGGGAAAACATCAGGACCCCAGGCCCTTCTGTCCACCCCGAGTAATCCTCGGGCAGGCAGCAGGGGGCCTCCCTCATTCCAGCCCTGATAAACTCACTGTGGAATCACCCACTTTCCTCATGGAGCCCGGGGTTCCCAGTGTGGGTGCATTCATTCATTCACTCATTCACTTCATTCATTCTTTTAATCATTATTGGGCATCCAATCCAAGCCCAGCTTTGGATCAGGCCTTGGGGAGACAGCTGTGAACAGGTTCCAGCTCCCCCTCAAGGCGAGTACAGTCTGGTGGAGGAGACAGGGCTCAAACAATCATAACTGAGTGGTGACTATTAATATAAGGGCAATCTGGGGTGCCGTGGGATCATGTGATCAAGGGGGACCTCCTTGAGGAAGTGGCATTTCAGCAGAGACTTAAAGGATAAAAAGGAATAGCCAGGCAGAGTTGGGGAGTGCCCCCTGGGTAGAGGGGTAGCTTCTGAAAAAGTGGGGAAGTTAGAGACAGCATGGCTTTCAGGGAGCCCAAGTGGTTCCCGGTGGCTGGAGTGTGGGGTGTGAGGGAGGCGGCCCCGTTTCCTCGCTGACCTTCCCTCATATCATGGCCCCTGCATTCCTTCCACTCCAGCCACTCTGGCCACCTTGCTGTTCCCTGAACTTCTGGCACATTCCAGCCTCAGGACTCTTGCTCTAGCTGTTTCCTCTGTCTGCGACCTGCTTCCCCAAGATACTTGTGTGGCTAACTCCCTGGCTTCCTACAAGTCTGTGCTCGCATCTCGCCTTCTCAGTGAGGCCCCGCCAGCAGTCATTTATTACCGTGCACTGCCCCCATTTACCACTTCCCACTCCTCTCCAACTCTAACTTTCCTTCTTTCCACGTACCTATCACCTTTTAACACACTATCTACTTATTCATTATGTTCATTGTCTATCTCCCTCGCTAGAATGTCAGCTCCACAAGGTCAAGGACCTTTGTCTATTTTCACCGAGGCATCCCAAGTCCTTGAACACGTGGAGGAGCAAATAAATGGGATTTGAGAGGCTGGCAGGGAGGGGACAGGCTGCAGAGGCCTTGAAGGTCAGGGGGAAGGCAAGTGAATTTGATTCCAAGTGCAAAGGGAAGGACCAAAGTGTGGTTTGAGTAGGGCCGGATCAGAGTCTGTGTTACATTTTAAAAGCTTGCTCTGGAATCTGAGGAGAACGGTTTGAAGGAGGGCAAGCTACTGCAGACATTCAGGCATGGGGTGGGGAGGCACGTGGGCTAGGGTGGGGGCACTGGAAGAAGTGGATGGATTGAAGAGATCCCAGGAGGTAGACCTGGTGAGCTGAGGACTATGGGGTTGCAGGAAGACAGGGCAAGGCAAACCCCAGACTCCTGCCTGAGCCGCAGGGCTGGAATGGAGCCACTTGCTAAGATGGGAGGACAGAGGGGGAACAGGTTGGGGGCTGGAGTGGTCAAGAATTCCATGTGGGCTCTGGTGAGTGGGGCCTATTAGACTTTCAAGTGGAGATGTCAAGTAGCCTGTTGGACAAAGTTTAAATAAGCTCAGAGTGGAAGTCTGAATTAGAAATAAACATTTGAGAATCATTGGCTTAGAGTTGTTTTTCAAGTCATGACAGAGTAGAGGGAGAACAAAAGGTGCCTAAGAAATGACACTGAGGACCAAACCCTGAAGCCTTCTGAAATTGCTCGTGAAGCAGGAGGAGTTTGCCAGAAAGGCAGGGAAAAGGCAATCCAGGCAGAAGAAACAGTGTGGATGAGACCTCACATACCAGAACGTGGCTCTCCGTACGCTTCAAAACTGTCAAGTTCATCAAAAGCAAAGAAAGTCTCAGAAACTGTCACAGCCAAGAGGAGCCTAAGGAAATAAGACAACTAAATGTAATGTGGTATCTTGGATGAGATCCTAGAACAGAAAAAGAATACTGGTAAAAACTAAGGACATCTGAATAAGGTCTGGACTTCAGTTATTAATAATGTTATAAGTGATATCATATGATATCGCTTGTATGTGGAATCTATAAAAAGGGGGTACAAATGAACTTATCTACAAAACAGAAAGAGTTACAGATGTAGAAAACAAACTTATGGTTACCAGGAGGTAAGCAGGGGTGGGATAAATTGGGAGATTGGGATTGACATATATATACACTACTATATATAAAAATAGATAACCAATAAGAACCTACTGTATAGCACAGGGAACTCTACTCAGTACTCTGTAACGGCCTATATGGGAAAAGAATCTAAAAAAGAGTGGATACATGTATATGTATAACTGACTCACTTTGCTGTACACCTGAAACACACAAGATTGTAAATCAACTATACTCCAATAAAATTTAAAAAAAAAAATAGGCATCCTCACGCCCAGTCAGACTCAATAAAGTGATTTCCATCATGAATTGGGGGGAATTCAAAAAAAATAATAATGATGTTATTAGTTAATAATTAGTTAACGGTTTAATAATTAATTAGAACAGATGTGCCATACTATGTACATGTACATCTACATATATGTAGGATTTTAATAAGAGAAGTAACAGAGAAGTTGGATGCAGAGTATAAGGAACTCTCTCTACTATCTTCTTGATTTTTCTCTAAATCTAAAACTGTTCTAAAAAATAGTCATTTAAAAAAAAGAGCATGAGCCTCATAAATGATGCCCAAACACGCGCGCGCGCGCGCACACACACACTCACACTCCAAGGACTATAGTACTTTGTTTCTCTGGAGAGGACTTTGACCCTGGCCAGGGTCACTCTGAATATCTCTTCACTCCTCCCCCTGGCAAGGAACAGAGGGTCCTCACCTCCACCTACTTTCTTTCTGTTCACAGAAAGAATACTCTCCTGGGGCCATATTTCATAATGAAAATGAGAAGCAGAGACTAAATGGATCAGGTAAGTCAGACCCGCCTAGAATTCCTTGGGGATGCAACCAGAGTTAATCTTTTGGTAATGCTCTGTAAAAGCACATTCCTCAGTCATAATTTTCCTGAACCCGCACCTTGTTCAATAGCTGGCTTGGTTTTCCTCCTGCAGTAAAAGCTTTGGCACCATCTGGGTTCAAATTCCTTCTCCACTACTAACTAGTTATGTGATCTTGGGCAAGTCACTTGAGCCTTATTTTCCTCATCTCTAGAACGGGCATAACCATGCTTGATCAAAGAGTGGGTTAAATGAGATGAATGGTACATTAGGTATAATTTCATCCTCTGAAGAATGGATATGAGCTAGTGAATGCCAAATGTCTAGCATGGTGCCTGGCACTCGTGGTGGCTGGTTGTTGATAAGAAACATGATCAGTCTGGCCAATGACTGAGGTATCCAAAGATCAAAGTGTGTCACTTTGGTCCTTGGGATTCTGTGTGATGACAGGGACCTCTGGGTCAGAGGAGAAGCTGGGCCTGGGCAGTGGTCAAGCGAGAGCCAGAGACAACTTGGTTGGCAGCTGGCCTAGGTGGCACCAAGGCTGGAGAGGACACAGAGGCAGAGGGAGGTGGTACTGTGTGGCCAAGGCCCCAGCAGCCAGCTCAAGACTCTGATCCACAGACACAGCCTTAAACAGAGGCCGTCCAGTACCCTGGACAGCTTCGCGGGGGTGGGGGTGGGGCTGTGTGTGTGTGTGTGGAGAGCAGTTTATAGATTTCAGGGGCATTGGTTTTGTGGGTGGAGAACTGAACTGGGTGTTGATTCCTCCAACCAGCTCTTTGAGCATGAGCAAGCCACCTCACCTCCCTGAGTCTCAACTACATCATCTCTAAGGTGGTATCTTGGATGGGATTCCTACATTCACGTTAACATACTTACCTTTCAGTGTTTTCGTGAAGAGTAAATAAGATAACGGAGAGGCAACAGAGTGGCCATTTCTGAGGTCAGACCATCTGAATTTGTATGACAGCTCCACACTGTGTGACCTCAGATAAACTGCTTAACCTCTCTGAACCTGTTTCCTCTTCTGTAAATTGGAAACCTAATAGACCCTAATTCGTAGGATTGTGAAGATGAAACAAAATAGGACATAAAGCACATGAACATTAGTTTTTGTTTTAGAAGAAACTTAGCACAGCACCAGACACAGGGTAGATAATCAAAGTTGTTGTTTTCTTATATTTTCCAAACTATCTGCTTGACTTTGCCCCTCCACCTTTAGACTCTTGGTTGGTCCTCCCATTTCTGGATGTTAAAGGAATTTCACAAAGCCAGAGAAATCAGTCTTGTGGAATCCCACGGGCTTCCCATCACAACTTTCTTCCCCCAGCAAAGCCCCCGCTTCTCAGTGTCACCCACCACAGGATGCCTTGGAACACTTTTCAAAAAAATACCAATATATAGTGTTTGTTCTGTGCTAGCCACTGTGCTTAGAGATAGAGATAATGTGTTGGTTACCCTCATAACCCTGAGAGATGAGTACCATGGTTATCCCCATTTTACAGATGAAAAAACTGAGGCTCTGTGAGAATAGATAAGTAAATCGTAGGGTCACACAGCTATTAATTAGTGGTGCTGGACCTGATCCCAGGGGTGGCACTTCAGAACCCCACACCCGCTTGTAGCATTCAGCAAGGCCAGCGGCCAGGGAAATAGAGAAGAGTAGGTAGGAGACCGAGTCTGGAAATCAGGACACCGGGTTCTCACCTTGGCCCTGGAACCCTGAAGCTAGGAGTCCTCATGCCAGACGCTTACCCGCGCCCAGTCTGCTGCCTGGGCAGGGATACCTACCTGGCCCCTGCCCCCTGTCCCTCCCCCGCGGGCGCCTCTGGGCCTGGCCCTCTGGCAGCCACTGTAACCTGATCCGCGGCGGGGTTTGGTTCTCGGGCAGCGTCACCGTCACGGAGGCGCTCCGACCCGGGACTGCGCTCCGATCCGGGACTGCACTCCGCGGTGCGCTCCCAGCCTGCAGTGCCGGCTCCGCAGATCGGTGCACCCGCGCATGGCGCAGAGGCTGGGCGAGCGGGTCCGGGGGCCCAGCGAGGCCACCGGGCTCTACCGGGCCGTGCTGCTCAGGTCCGGTAAGTGGGGGCAAGTCTACTCGGCCCCCCGCCCCCGGGAGAGCGCGAGGAGGGCATGGCGGGAGCACTGCCCTCAGCCTCTGGCTAGCAGGGCGCCTCGGTCCTTCTTTACTGGTCTGCTTTCCTCCTTTCCTTTCCTTCTATCCTCCGTTCTTGGATGCTTTTTAATTACTTTTTTTCTTCTTTCCTTACTTTCATTCCTTCTTTCCTTCCTACGTCCTTTCCTTCCTACGTCCTACGTTCGTCCTTTTGGGGATCTACCCTTATTAGATATATTGCTTTATTCCTTTATATGCACTTGTGGTGCGCGCACACATACGCACACTCATAGTGTTCCCTGACTACAAAAGTCCCGCAAGCTTCCACCTCCTGGCCAGCCCCTTAAGCAGAGACTCACACAAAGTGGGGGAAGGAGGCATTGGTAGGCGTGGGAGAACGGACATGGGAAAGACTGGTAGCGCGCGGTGGGGCGTAAAGAAGCACAAGCCCACTGGTGAAGGACTTCCAATGTCCAGTGAGGGGAAAGGGCGAGGGGGGAACAAGGTACACGAAGGTGAGGAACGGGTTTTCTATACGTATGCATTTAAGGAGAAAACGATTTGGAAAGAAACACCTGGTGGTGGTTTTCGAGGATGCGAGTTGGATAAGTGTTTTTTTAATTTGTCTTTTTACTCATTTGCAGTAAGCACATACTACTTTTCTACTCTGGACAATAGTTTGTTTATTTAGGAAAATGAAACAAATGTAATATAGGGCCAGTGTGAAAATAATCTGGAACGTACAGGGATGTAGAAAGAAGAAAAATCATGCCCGCAGTAAGCATCTGGGGTGTTTCCTTCCGGACTCTGTGCTTGGAGAGCGACGTTCAGAGTGGGTGAAAATCGGTCTCCTGCCGGCTCCCTGCCAGCTGGGGGTGTGTGATTAGAAAACGTCAAGGGCCTTGGGCTCACGAGGCAATCTGCCTTGGGCAAGGAACCTACCCCACCCGGTAGTCCTGCCCCTGACCCCCGCAGCCGAAAGCGCTAGGCGAGCCGAGCCGGAGCCGCTAGCCGCCGGAGCCGCTAGCCGCGGGCCTGCAAGAGCGGCGCTCGCCCGCCGCCCGCACGTAGTAGTCGGCTCTGGGACCGATTGGCGTTTCTTCCTTAGATTGGCCCCGCCCCGGGGAGATCCCGCCGCGGAGTTACTGCCTGGGAGCTTTGAAACAACGGTTCTCTAAGTCCAAAAGCATGGCCTAGGCAAGACTTCAGGACTGGCGGCGCCTTCCTGGGGCGGGGTATCTTAAATCTGGCTGAGCCAGGGCAGGCAGAAAGCGAGGAGCTCTAGAATTCGAAGAGGCTGATTTCAAACCTCAGCTCCGGAAATGTCCCTACAAAACACTCTTCCTAGGTGTCCCTATCCAGTTCCTTTCTTCTCACTAAGATGAGAATAGGGTATCTCTATCCTGAAGATCCTGTGTTCCCTCTAACGTGGAACTGCAGCTGTGAGGCTCACTCAAACAGTCACATTTTCCACTCGCAACACATCCAGAATAGCAGACATACCAGGGGCCACATGCATGCCCGGCAACTGTACCACACACAGCTGTAAGTCAGGAAGGCAGCAGAGGCTGGTTACTGGGGCCTCACGGAGGGAGCACTTGCACTGTGCTACTGACTCAGTCTTCACAATCCTTCAAAGTCACTGCTGATTGTTTATCCCCATTTCATAGATGAGGATACCGAGGCTCAGAGAGCTTAAGCAGCATGCCCATGGTCCTGCTACAGGAACTCTTCTATCCCACTAACATGTAGAAAGCACATTCAAACTTCGGTCCGTCTACGCGAAGTCTGCCCGTCTTCTGAGAATAGTAATAATGGCAAATGATAGCTGGTCACTAGCTATTGCCACTCTCTCTGACAAATACTGTAGATCTGTCTTCTCATCAACTTCATTCATTTAACCAATATTTATTGACGACTATTATGCACTAAGCCCTATGCGAGGCACAGGGATGTGCTGATAAATTAAATGGATAAGTCCCTCCTCTCAGGGAGGTAAGTACTATTAACCTCTATTTTAAAACATGAGGAAACGGAGCCTCAGAAGGTAACTTGACTTGTCTAAGGTCACACAGCCAGTCAAGGGTGGGGCTGAGATTCAAACCCAGGGCCATGTGCCTTTGGAGCCACTACTCTGGCTGTCTCACACAAGGAAGAACAAGAAGTAAGAGTGGGGGTGAGGAGCCAGCTGGGCCATTTATTGAAAGAGGCAAGAGCCTCCTTCTTTTAGAAGCCCCCAAGGATGGAATTACAGAATCAAACCCAAGATGGCAGCCATGTTTGTTTACAGGAGACTGGAAGTATGCACCAAGTAATATAATGCTTCGAGAAAATTTTTCATTCCAAGTTATTTTAAAATAATTTCTTAGTATTAAAGTAATACATGTTCATCATGAATGTTTTGGAAAATGGAGAATGAAGAGGGGGAAGCCTTACCCGTAATCCCACTAACCATAAGCAGCCACTGGTAATATCAGGGGATGTCTCCTTCCAGTTTTGCTATGCGAGACTTGTGTGGGGTTGTGTGGTTCACATTGCTGAGATTGTACTGACTCTAATTTTTAATCCCATTTTTTTTCACTTGGATAAAAATCTTAACTGTTTTTAAATGGGTTACTGAGATAACAGCTACCACTTTGGCACACTGACGCTGTGGCAGGCACTGTGTGAAGGGCTTCCCATGTCATACCTCCTTTATTCCTCAAAAGAATGCCCCATTTTAGAGACGAGGAAACAGGAAGTTGAAGGTCACCTAGCTACCCAACAGTGGAGCCAGGATCGGTATCTGGGTTGACACCGGAGCCCATGTTCTTAACCACTAAGATGGAAGGGTCACCTTTGGGGAATAACTCATGCTTGGCCGTGTCTGGTAAGCTATGCAGTGCTGTAGTAAAGGTCCACCTGAGGCTCGTTTCCTACCTGGAGCTCAGCCCAGGTTCCTGCTAGGGAGGGAAGCATCTCTCTGCAGCATGGACCGAGGGACACCTCCCCAGGTGCCTGTGGGCATCAGCAACTGTGCTTCTCTGCACCCAGAAGGGTGGTCATAGCTTCCACTGCTGCCTGCCAAGTAGGGTTGCCAGATAAAATAGTTAAATTTGAATCTCAGATATACAATGAATATTATTTTAGTGTAAGTGTGTCTTAAATATTATATGGGTATGTTTATGCTAAAAAACTATTCGTTGCTTATCTGAAATTCAAATTTAACTGGACATGCTGATTTTTTTTCTTTTTTTTACCCATATATACACTCTCTTTTATATTCTTTTCCATTATGGTTTATCCCAGGAGATTGGATATAGTTCTCTGTACTATACAGTAGGACCTTGTTGTTTATCCATTCTATATGTAATAGTTTGCATCTACTAACCCCAAACTACCAGTCCATCCCTCTCTCTCCACTCCTCCCACTTGGCAACCACAAGTCTGTTCTCTGTGTCTGTGAGTCTGTTTCTGTTTTGTAGATAGGTTCATTTGTGTCATGTTTTAGGTTCCACATATAAGCGATATCATGGTATTTGTCTTTCTCTTTCTGACTTACTTCACTGAGTATGATCATCTCTAGTTGCATCTGTGATGCTGCAAATGGCATTTATTTTGTTCTTTTTCACGGCTAAGTAGTACTCCATCGTATATATGTACCACATCTTCTTTATCCATTCATCTGTTGATGGACATTGAGGTTGTTTCCAGGTCCTGGCTACTGTGAATAGTGCTGCTATGAACATAGGGGTACATGTATCTTTTTGAATTATAGTTTTGTTTGGATATATGCCCAGGAGTGGGATTGCTGAATCATATGGTATTCTATTTTTAGTTTCCTGAGGAACCTCCATACTGTTTTCCATAGTAGCTGCACCAACTTACATTCCCACCAACAGTGTAGGAGGGTACCATTTTCTCCACACCCTCTCCAGCATTTGTTATTTGTAGGCTTTTTGATGATGGCCATTCTGACCAGTGGGACGTGATACCTCATTGTAGATTTGATTTGCATTTCTCTAATAATTAGTGACGTTGCACATCTTTTCATGTGCCTACTGGCCATCTGTATGTCTTCTTTGGAGAAACGTCTTAGATCTTCTGCCCATTTTTCAATTGGGTTGTTTATTTTTTTGTTGTTGTATGAGCTGTTTGTATATTTTGGAGATTAAGCCTTTGACAGCTGCGTCACTGGCAAATATTTTCTCCCATTCTGTAGGTTGTCCTTCCCTTTTTTTATGGTTTCCTTTGCTGTGCAAAAGCTTTTAAGTTTAATTAGGTCCCTCATTTGTTTAGTTTTGTCTTTATTTCTATTGCTTTGCGAGACTGACCTAAGAAAACATTGGTACGATTTGTGTCAGAGAATGTTTTGCGTATGCTCTCTTCTAGGAGTTTTACTGTGTCATGTCTTATGTTTAAGTCTTTAAGCCATTTTGAGTTTATTTTTGCGCATGGTGTGAGGGCGTGTTCTAACTTCATTGATTTACATGCATGGACATGCTGCATTTTTGTTAGCTACATTTGGCAACCCCACCGCCAGGCATTATGGAAGTTTGCTTGGCTTGACAAGCCCTGGTCTGCCCAGGTTCCCCTCTACACACACCCACTCACATACTCACATCCCTTTCCCCGTGCCTCGATCTACTGTCCATATTTTGTCTAGCTACAAGTGAATTAAACTATGCTGGAGGTCGGGGGCACCCCAGGCTCCTTCTGCAGCTAAGAGACCAGATTAACCATGCCTAACTGCAGCTGGGTTGAGAGCCAGCTTTTCTGAAATAAGACTCTTGGTCCTTCCCCACTCCCTTGCACTTTCCTGTTTCCATGCTTGAAATCCCTCCACCGGGTAAATTCTTCCTGGTTCAAACTCGTTGTAAAGGCAACGCTCATTCCTTTTATAATCTCTCCACGGATCCCATGACAAGTTTTCTTGCCAGTACAGCTTCTCCTGCCATGTCCTTTGAAAAGAGCATGTTGGGG